AAATGCTTCCGTGCATGCATTTACTTTGGACCGTGATTGGAAACAACCGGTGTCCAGGTCGTGCCTAAATAACCGGTTGTTTTAATGGCGTATATAAAAATTGTATGCGTTTTGGGGCAGCTTGTGTGTGGTCGTTCACGTCGACCCTGTCAACTGCAATCAGTAATGTTTGTGTGTACTTCGCTTCCTGTGAAGAAAACTGTCTCAATCTTTCCTTTGGCTTTTCCCCCTCGGACGGATCGCGTTAAGGGGCGGGTTTGTTTGCAATAGCCCTTGCTGCTTGTGCGCAATCTCTAATTTGTGTTTTTGCGGGGACTTCATCTCAAAAGATAAGTGCGGGACCATCACTGGAGCTCATGCAACCTCTTTGCGATCCCCGTATGCCAAAAAAGCTTCCTCAGGCAGATAGAATGTATTTATAAAGGCTGTAGGTGATTGGTACATTCATGTTGCCAATAAGAATTTTACGTTAGCTTGGTTGCAAGTACAAGCCCTGTCATTTTTCGGTTTTCGTTCTACCGACTAGACTCTCTTGACACGTCCAACAGGCAGGCATTTGGACGAGACGTGGGAAATCCGCGGTCAGTTGTTAACTCGAAAGCTTTTTGCAGTTGTTATCCCCAATTTTACTTCACGCTTACCTCAGTCTGCGCATTGGTCGCCTTCTTTTTTTCAACTGCTTGTGGTTTTTATATTTTTGCCTTCGCCTGACGTTTTTGCAAGGACATTGGCCAAAAGGGGCGGAGTTTACCCCTACACAGGTCGCCGTATGATCCACTGAGGTTTGTGCTGATCGGGATCTTGTACATATTTCATGCAGCCTTGATCCATCCATCCTTTGTCTGCATTCCCCTTCAGCTTCGAGTTCCAACTCATGAGGAGGGCACGAGCATATTCTGGGAATTTGCAACTGACTCCTACGACATCGGATTTGGACTCTTCTTCGAATGGAGTCTTACTCCACCAGAGTCCATCACAATGACCATCTCCGAGTCCAGTGACGAGGAGGACGAATATGACGAGAACGAAGAGGAGGGAAGTGAGGCGCCGCCCCGACCAAGGCAACGGTCTGGTAAGCACTTTTGCTGTTTTCCGCCTGGGGCAAAGAGGGGCGAGGGCGGCTGGGGTGGAGGAACAGCTTTGTAACAACTTGAAGACAGCTAGGTGAAGGCTGACTGATAGTAGGGTTCTTCTGATTAGGCCTGATGCTCTTTTCCGCCTCCCTTCCCGAGACACCCAACCCCCCTCCCCC